ATGTTTACATGTTATGTGCAATTAAACCATGGCAACATCTAATGTTTGTGTAGTATTATGTTCAGCAGACTGTGTTCTTCTATTGCTGTGACTTAGATGACGTTCAGAGCACATTTTATGCCCAATTCATGCAAAACTCCATGTAATCCCAAGGGGTTCACATACTTTTTCTTGCAACTGTATATATATATATATATATATATATATATATATATGTGTGTGTGTGTGTGTGTGTGTGTGTGTGTGTGTGTATATATATATATATATATATATATAAATATATATATATAATTTTTTTTTTAAACATATTGAATACGGACACAATTTCAAATGCATGCCAATATATTTGGGAAGAATATTTTTAAAATATATTTCAAATATATTTTTCTTCCATGGGGGGCATGCTGCTTTTACTTTTTGATCTGACTTTTTTTTCTCCCTGCTTTTCAGGAAGAAGAAACAGCCAGATTGCTGGCCCTATGTACACAGAGTAATACATGTTTGTAAACACGGAACTCTGTGTGTGATTGCCCACAGCTGATCAGCAGGTTTCAGCCAAAATCATTGGCTGAAATCTGCTGCCAAACTCGTGCTATGTAAAATCACAGCGCGGGTCGACAGGGGACATGCGCATGCGCCTCTTCTTCTTCTCTGGACAGAACACAACGGAACTCTGTAAGAGAATGTTTAACTGAGCCGGCCACATCACTCATGGCCTCTGACTTGTTCCTTCCCTAATAAGAGCTATAAAATTATATATTATTATACAAAGATTGTTACAGTTTTTGAAAAAAAAAAAAAAAAAAAACATCTCCGCTTAGAGAACATGGCGATTAGTGCTGCTTATTACTGCTAACAAGCATTTTTCTGGGCGAAAGTGCATTTTGAATTACCAAAATTAAGCTGCTTAACATTAATAGCGGCGGGATTAATGGTCCGCCAATGTGAAGCGCTCTGATTACAGCAGATTTTTTTTACATTTCCGTGAAATAAATAAATAAATCAGCAATGAAATAAATAAATATATAGGGTACTTGTACAAATTTCAGCTCCTGCTCGGAATTCAATCTCGCTCAGCGTCGCCGTTTTCAGCAGGTTCGCCTGCACATTGTTCTTACCCGTTAAGCTCTAGTCGAAACAAGAAACATTTGCTTAATAGCTCCTGAGAGTGCGGAGAAATATTATGTTTGTCGAGGCATGTCTGAGTGTTGGTATTAAAAGGAGCGAGCGGGTGACACTTTGTAATAAGAGAACGGTGAAGAAAATGGGTTTTGTTTCGCGGTGAAACTTTGTTGAAATGCAACGTGAACTTCTCTGGGACTTAGCGAACGTCCGACCGATTTCCGCGTTCCAGACTTTGTTCTGAAGTTCTTGCGGTGGCTACATTGTGTCTTTATTAGGAAAACTTGTAACAGGCCAGGTCAGGTGTGGGGTAAACACAAGAAGAATTGGATTATAAGAGGCCTCATGACAATTAGACAAAGGAGACTGAAGGGTTGGAATATTTCCGAAATACGTGGGGTGAGCGGCAGGGCCTTGTCTTGCTAGGGGTGAATTCATGTCTTTGTTCAGAAAATATTTTAGCAACTTCTTTTACTGATTCCCCATACACTGCCTGCTGCCTATTTAAAGAAAAAATAATATGGTGTTGAAGTAAAATTGTGTAGGAAATAGTTGAGGTCACAGAACTATATGTAAATATGTAAAAAGCAAAACTCTTTTTTAGATTTGATAGAACATAAAAAGTAAACAAAAAGCAATAATATAACAGAAAAAAACAGCCTAGTGCATGCAGGGGCATATTTACCACAAGGCAAACAAAGCATTTGCCTAGGGCACCATTTTTCAGGGGGGCAGCATCGCCCCCATGGAAGAAGGGACGGAAGAGGGGACACATGCGGCTTGTGGACCAGGTGGGATCTGAGAGAGGCTGCGGGCTGCTTGACACTTGTTCCCGGGGATGTCCAGGGCTGTGAAGGTGAGTGTCTTTCTCTCTTTCTGGGAGGGGAGTGGCAGGTGGGATCTGAGAGAGGCTGCGGGTTGCTTGGCACTTGTTCCCGGGGACGTCCAGGGCTGTGAAGGTGAGTGTCTTTTCTCTCTTGCTGAGAGGGGAGTAGCAGGTGGGATCTGAGAGGCTGCGGGTTGCTTGGCACTTGTTCCCGGGGATGTCCAGGGCTGTGAAGGTGAGTGTCTTCCTCTCTTGCTGGGAGGGAAGTGGCAGGTGGGATCTGAGAGAGGCTGCGGGCTGCTTGACACTTCTTCTCGGGGATGTCCAGAGTTGTGAAGGTGAGTGTCTTTCTCTCTTGTTGGGTGGGGAGTGGCAGGTGGGATCTGAGAGGCTGCGGGTTGCTTGGCACTTGTTCCCGGGGATGTCCAGAGTTGTGAAGGTGAGTGTCTTTCTCTCTTGCTGGGTGGGGAGTGGCAGGTGGGATCTGAGAGGCTGCGGGTTGCTTGACACTTCTTCTCGGGGATGTCCAGAGCTGTGAATGTGAGTGTCTTTCTCTCTTGCTGGGAGGGGAGTGGCTGGTGGGATCTGAGAGAAGCTGCGGGCTGCTTGACACTTGTTCCCGGGGATGTCTAGGGCTGTGAAGGTGAGTGTCTTTCTCTCTTGCTGGGAGGGGAGTGGCAGGTGGGATCTGAGAGAAGCTGCGGGCTGCTTGACATTTGTTCCCGGGGATGTCTAGGGCTGTGAAGGTGAGTGTCTTTCTCTCTTGCTGGGAGGGGAGTGGCCGGTGTATGGGGGCAATGGTAGTGGAAGGCTTTCTCAGATGTGGAGGGGGCTGTGGTGTTGTTGGTCAATGTCCGGGGGGGGGGGGGGCATTTTTGTGTTGCCCAGGGCAGCACAAAACCTAAATATGCCGCTGAGTGCATTATCTTTGGCACAATTTATTGAAATAAAAGTATGCTTACCCTTATACTCACAAACTTGGTTCAGGATAGGCTCATAACACGTAACTGAAGGAACTTCGACCAAAGTCCCAACCCATGGCCTTCAACAGATACAGATGACACCTGAAGATGTGCAGCTGATGTTGAAGTGTTTCAAGGTTTACCCCTCTTCATCAGAGATTAGGAATCTGACACATGCCATCGGGTGTTATCCATATCTATTGAGGGTCACGGTGTCAAGACTCACATCTAAACCTACATCCTCTGCTGTGTCTGGCGATGTTTTGTCTTGCTGAGCCACCTGGAATGTGGGATAGCTCCCTAGACAGTTCCTTGAATGATCCTGCCTTGAACCTTGTTTGTGGTAAACCTTGAACTCCTCCCATGCACTTCCTATTAAAGCCCTTCTTTTGTCTTTCCTGTTTACCAGATTATTGTGCTCCCTCCAGCCAATATCTTCCCCCTGTCATTCCTACTGCCATCTGTATCTTCGCTACCACTTGTTACCGACTGTTGGCTTGTTCCTCGACTATGTTTCTGCTTGATCCCAACGTGCGACTACTTTTTGGCAAGCTTTAGGCTTGTTTACTGACTACACTTCTGCTGGCTCCCTACCAACTGGTGGGATGATCCTGAGGACCACTACTTGGTACTAATAAGGAGAAATTTCCACCATCAGGAGCTCTGGTGAATACCAGTTAGTACTTAGACCCCGCACCTCGGGTGAGCCCATCTCATGCACCAGGGTGACCTGCTTGTATACCGTTCCTGCTGGTCAGTGAGAGCCTCTCTACTGCTATAGTTACTGGTCTTCAAGCCTGACCCTAACCTTGACACACGGGTTGTGGCTTTGGTCAAAGTTTCTTCTGTAAAATGTTATGACCGTAACACCCATCCAAGTTTGTAGGGTATATAGTGATTATGGAGTTTGATTTTATTTTCAACAAATGGTACCACAGATAATGCAGTAGGCTTGTGTGCCTTATTTTCCTTATTGTGTAATTTTCTGGATTCCCCTATCTGAAGAGGGTTGTAAAGCCTAAGAAGCATTGGGTGACCTAGGAAGACACATGCCAATTAGACGATTATCTGTGTTGGCCACAATACCATTTATGTCCACCATATCCACCACACCTGAGTGAAGAAGAAGTCAATTGGTACAGAAGGTTTTTTTCCCTAATTCTATATTTTCTTCAATCTAAAACCTTACAAAATACTTTTGAGCTCAAATATTCCTAAACCACTTCAGGAGTTTGGATGTGAAAAATAACACCCCAAATTTTTCAACAAGGTTTCTAGGGTAAATCTCCTTTGCCCTGTTTTTTGTCCCCCCAGTGCAACTCCTCCAATCATTATTGTCAACGCTAAGCCCCAAGCAACCATGCAAATACTCCAAGAGAAAACTGTGAAATCTGTTATTACTCAGTCCAACTGTCAGACTGATCCATCCAAGGTACAAAACCTTAGATGGATCGATCTGGCTGTTGGATCTAGTAATAAACAGGTTTGAGGCTTCTAGTACACTGAGCAGTTCCCATTTCTTCTCTTGGAATATTTGCAGTCTTCTCTTGTGACTACAGGCAACCAGGTCCTGTCATTGATGGTGGTGTAGAAATAGGAGCCTGAAGTGTAGTATCTTCTTTCTTCTTACCTAAGCAGCCATGTTGGTCTTCCATTCTCTTCCTCTTGTTTGTCTTTAGCGTGCACTGGAAATACTGGGAGGTAGACCTACGGCATACTATATGATATATATTTACATGTGCTGTGGTATATATTCTTCACTTTGATCTAGCATCACAGCCCCCTGGGAAATGTGCTTCAGAGGCCAACAGTATTGAGGAGAATGGTCATTTTTATTCACTGTTAGTCTTTAAAATGTACGTGTTGAGGTGTAATATATAGCAAAGCATCACGTATACTTATTATTATACCTCCAGGTTCCTGCAGAGTCCAGAGCTTATTTGAGATTTTGTCAGGCCATATTGTTGAGAATTTTGGATAGACAAGGTGCTAATGAGTTGTTGTAGGCCGTCTGCTGTGGCTTGATCCTTGTTGTTCCTTAAGCAATTTCTGACTTTCGGATAAGAACCACGACCAACAATATTCTTTTAAGCTATCTGCAAGGGGGGAATTCTTCCCAAAGACCACAAATATGAGGAACATTCTTCCCAATGAGCACAAATGTGAGGAGAATTCTTCTTAATGAGCACAAATGTAATGAGCATGTTTCCCACTGGCCACCAATGTAAGAAGCATTCTTTCCACGGAACACCAATGTAAGAAGCATTCTTCCCACTGGCCATCAATGTAAGGAGCATTCTTCCCACTGACCAATAAAAGGAGCATTCTTCCCACTGGCCACCAATGTAAGGAGTATTCTTCCCACTGGCCATCAATGTAATTAGCATTCTTTCCACAGACCACCAATAAAAGGAGCATTCTTCCCACTGGCCACCAATGTAAGGAGCATTCTTCCCACTGACCAATAAAAGGAGCATTCTTCTCACTGACCACCAATATAAGAAGCATTCTTCCCACTGATCACCAATGTAAGAAGCATTCTTCACACTGACCACCAATATAAGGAGTATTCTTCCCACTTGCCATCAATGTAATTAGCATTCTTTCCACGGACCACTAATAAAAGGAGCATTCTTCCCACTGGCCACCAATGTAAGGAGCATTTTTCCCACTGACCATCAATATAAGAAGCATCTTCCCACTGATCACCAATGTAAGGAGCATTCTTCCCACTGACCACCAATGTAAGGGACATTCTTCCCAATGACCACCAATGTAAGGGACATTCTTCCCAATGACCACCAATGTAAGGAGCATTCTTCCCACTGACCACCAATGTAAGGAGAATTCTTCCCACTGATCACCAATGTAAGGAGCATTTTTCCCACTGACCATCAATATAAGAAGCATTCTTCCCACTGATCACCAATGTAAGGAGCATTCTTCCCACTGACCACCAATGTAAGGGACATTCTTCCCAATGACCACCAATGTAAGGAGCATTCTTCCCACTGACCACCAATGTAAGGAGAATTCTTCCCACTGATCACCAATGTAAGGAGCATTTTTCCCACTGACCATCAATATAAGAAGCATTCTTCCCACTGATCACCAATGTAAGGAGCATTCTTCCCACTGACCACCAATGTAAGGGACATTCTTCCCAATGACCACCAATGTAAGGAGCATTCTTCCCTCTGACCACCAATGTAAGGAGAATTCTTCCCACTGATCACCAATGTAAGGAGCATTTTTCCCACTGACCATCAATATAAGAAGCATTCTTCCCACTGATCACCAATGTAAGGAGCATTCTTCCCACTGACCACCAATGTAAGGGACATTCTTCCCAATGACCACCAATGTAAGGAGCATTCTTCCCACTGACCACCAATGTAAGGAGAATTCTTCCCACTGATCACCAATGTAAGGGGCATTCTTCCCACTGACCATCACGCTTATATAGTGTGAGGTGTGGCTATAGTAATTGTAATCAGGGATTTATTTCAATGTTGAAAAGGCTGAGGAAGCTTGGTGGAATGTTTTGAAAAAGTGTTTCAAGTTGCCACAGTGTACGCAAGATCAAAATTAGAAAAGGCCTTGACTTCGTAATGGGATTGAGATTCAATGACGCCAAGCAAATGCCTGTTCTCTACTCTAATGTAAATGAGGCCTATGGAAGAAACCCGACCACCTTTTTACCCATCGTCCGCAGGCAGCCTGTGAAATCTTTTCTTCTTCTGTGCAGGCGGTGCTTGTCTTTCCCAGCATCCCTTGCATGGGGCTCAGACAAGAGGACTAAAAGTGAAATGTGTTAATCAGATAAAGAAGACTCCTAAGTGCCTGATCCTGGCAATCCCTCCATTAACAAATTGCTCCCTGCCACGCTGACCTTTCCGTGATATTCGGGCACCTGTTGTCTATGTCGGATCTCATCTGAGGAGTCTAAGAGCGTGAAAATCCCCCATTCCATTATCGCCAGCTGCAGCCCCTCTCATCTTCTCGGCTTGTGTTTGTTATATCATTGACGGATAAAGTCTCATAGCGCTGTAGACCGGCCCTTTCATAAGCATCACATGTGGCTGGGATGGGGTTACAGAACAATCATATTATACTTAAGGAAAATATTACACTAAATAGCTGTTTGGATATTTAAGAAATCTCTTTAATAAAAAGTTCTGAAAAGATTTTGTTTCCCAGCATTTGCTCTACTAATAGCCAAAAATGATAGAATTGCTAACAAAAATTGCTGAAAATGCTAAATATTAAGGGGTGCGTTTAATAAAAAATGTGCATAGCTGTCCATCCATTGAAGCTGCATGTAAATGTGTTATGTTCAAATGGGGCAAAATTAAACATTCTCAGGCTCTATTCTCTGCAGGCTGTTAGTCATTAACTGCTTCCGTGCCACCCTATAGCAGAAGTACTGATACAAGGCGGCACGGGTGCGCAAAATCACGTATATACATGTGATTTTGCAGTTCTGGGTAGGGGAACCTACTCCGCCATTTGCGGCCTCAGGTCCCGGACAGTGATTACTCACTGGCACCCTGTGATCGCCGAGTATCTCCGACGGGCGAGAGACCGGTTGTCAGGAATGGACTCACCTGCCTTGTGGGCTGCAGTACCAGGGCTGGCCAGCGGGTGCTCTCAACAACCAGAGGTTCACTTTGGCAATTAGCCATCACCTGGGGCTGATTGCAGGTGTATTTAAGGGATGGCCAGACCTGCAGTCTGGGCCTTGGTGTGTGTTTTTCCATGGGCCCCTGTATCTTGTAACCTGCGGTCCTGTTCCTGTTTCTGCCTCTGCCTGACTTGTTGCCGACCCTGCCTGATCCTGACCTCTGCTGACTTCTCCTGTTTTGATCCCTGGCTTGTGACCCTGGCCATTCTCTCCACCTGCTCCTCCTGTACCTACCTGCCTGATAGTTATCGACCCGGCCTGCCTGATTACGTTGTGCTCTATATGTGTATGTACCTGTGTATCTGTATCAGTTTAGGTTTGGGTTTGTTTCACCTTGTTGTATGTATTTGTGTTAGCTTGGGGTTTGGTGCACTGCGTTTATGTTTGTATTGTTAGTCTTAATAAATTGTCTTGTTTTATACCATATCTGACGCCTGCGTTTCCCTGTGTCAGTCCACACACTTCTGGTCACACCCGCATCCCTGACACCGGTGTATAAACAGCACAGATCTCTCCCCTGTCAGCTCCTGCACACTGCTTTGTATGGCTCTGCATAGCTTTCTCTCTCTCTCTCTCTCTCTCTCTCTCTCTCTCTCTCTCTCTCTCTCTCTCCCCCCTCCCTCCCTCCTACTGACACTTACGACCGGGACCTGGCGTTCCGCTATTGGGCTCTGAGGAAAGGGTCCCCGGGCTTGGGGCTGCTCAGTCCAAAATGCCTGGGCCTATTTTTGTCTCAGTCCGGGCCTGCCAGTGGCCATGGAGGGGATTGGAACACCTGAATCCAATGATTGCAAGGGCTGGCCCAATACTTTTGCCAATATAATGTATTTTTCAGGACCACTGTCACCTTTTTCAACGTTTTTGAGAAATTGCCCGGAGTGGCTTTGACCTGTAACCTGATGAAACCCTTAGCACTAACATTTCTTTATAAAAAAAGATAAAATATCAATAAATTTGAACTCTTCCAAACAGAACGGTTACATTTTCCACAGTGTGTGTTTTCACCAGTCTGAGCTTTTTTATTCAGGTCCAGATTATGAGGCGTTGATGAGTGAGCCGTTCGCCATAATACCGCCGTGCTCAGCCCAGTCCCTGCGTGCCGCAGCCGAGGCTTCATATGACCCTCATTACATTATACACCGGCCTGAACCGAGCCGCCGGGGATCCCAGACTGCCACTAATTTCTGTTGTTCTTTCCAGGCCTTTCTAAATGGAAAACCTCAACTTCAAAGCGTCAGTAAAAACCCGCTAACATTCTTTCATCTGATTCTGTTACAGTGTAGCGAGGACGATGGACGTGCCATGTGATGAAGAAACAAGGCGAGTCTGGAGGAAAATTAACCCCTGAAAAGAAGTGTATGGAGCTATTTTATGTATCTTACTTTGTTATTTATCTTCATGACTTAAAAAATATTAATTTTATTGTTTTTTTTTTTCTACTTTTTGGTCTGGTAAGTAATACACAGGGTGGACTGACCATTAGAACACTCGGGCACTGCCCGAGGGTCCGGGGTCAGTAGGGGGCCCCATGAGATGCCCCTGGTACCTTTCATTGGCTTTTTTATAGGCTTTTTTGGGTGTGGGCGAGGACACAGGGGCCCCATGATCCCCTATTGCCCGGGGGCCCCATGAGTTGTCAGTCTGCCCCTACTAATACATGTTCATTTTGAGTATATCATATCAACCGCATGCATCCACAAAGTAGAACAGTAAAGGCAGCAAACAGACATAAGCAGTTAATTTCATTCCAAATCAAAACTCAGACAAAATTTTCATTATTTGGAGATCTGGATGAATTTGAATAGTAACGAATTTAAATGAATCCAAAATAACAAAACTCATTTTTATCCAAAATTCGAATCAAATTCAAAAACAATTTTGAAATAGAAACGTATTCCTGACTATTGTTGATATCCTTCATAGGCTATGTGCACTAGTGTTAAAATAGAGCTGGCTTCCAAAATTTGAATTTCAAAAAGAATAGAATGAAACAGGATACAATAAAATAGAAGAAAAGAGTAAAACAGAAAAGAAAATAAAAGAACAGAATCAAATGGAATAGAAAATAAAGGAATAGAATAGAAAGAAAAGAATAGAACATAATAGAAAAAATATATGGAATATTCTCTTCAGGGAAGCCTATCCTGCCCTCAGCTAATAATGGAATCTTCTACTCTTCCAACCAGTCCATCCCCCAACAGTTACTACCTTTTGTATCACTAGCCCCTCCCTCTTAGATTGTAAGCTCCCAGGATCAGGGCCCTCCTAGTCTTCTTATATTGAACTGTATTCTTGCTGTACTGTCTCTCGTTATATTGTAAAGCGCTTAGCAAACTGTTGGTGCATATAAATCCTATATAATAATAATAAAAAATAATATATGTAATACATTAGAATAGAATAGAATAGAATAGAACGAATAAAGCTGTCTTCTGAAATTATTATTATTATACAGTATTTATAAAGCGCCAATAGTTCACTCAGCGCTGTACATTACAGAGGGGGACAGAACATGTGACAGAACAATACCAATACAATGCAAAACATGAGGGGATTGAGGGCCCTGCTCTTTCGAGCTTACAATCTAGGAAATTTAAATTTTGAAAAGATTAAAATAAAATAGAATAGATTAGAAATGTATAGAGTTAAACAGAATAGAAGATAAAAGAACAGAATAAAATAGAGTAGAAAATAAAGAAATAGAATAGAATAGAAAATAAAAGAACAGAATAGGAAAAATATATAGACTACATTAGAATAGAATACAAAAAAAAAGAATATGTCTGTCTTCCAAAATTAAAATTTTGAAAAGAATAGAATGAAGCACAATAGAACAGAATAGAAAAAAATAGTTTAAAATAGAATATAATAGAAAATAAAATAAAAGAACAGAATAAAAATAGAATAGAAAATAAAGAAACAGAATAGAAAACAATAGAATAAAGAAAGAATAGAAAATAAAAGAAAAGAATCAAAGAAAATAGAACAAATAGATTAGAATAGAATAGAATAAAACAGATGTTTTGCCTCCCCTGGTCCCTCCTTCCCCCCTTATCAACATGCTAATGAAAGTATCACATAAAGCCTTTCCATGTTCATTACTACATACCTTATTGTAGACCCAGTGATGACATTGATGGATCTCCATGCTTCTCTATGCAATGCAGGCAGATCATGGTTGGTGGGAGGGGCCAGAATGGTGCCTTAGTAAACCTCTCAAGAGCCCTCAGCCCTAATGCAAGTAGTAGGCTGGCTCTTGGGAGGAGCTATGCAAATATTAAAATGCCTTGATGGGTGGCTGTCGATCTGAAGGAGAGGGTGTTGATAGGAAGACCACCCTATAACTAATGCAGGCCATACACGGTTCGAATTCCAATGATTTTTCGTCCAAAAATCAAAAACGTCGTTCGCTCTGTAATCTGATGGCGCCATCAATGATTTAGAAAATTGGCCAACCAAGTCTTAAAGTTCACCCCATATAACAGGCAAAACTTCTGTTCCTTCCAGGTCATGGCTCGTGCGCATATTCTTTTCGGAAAAAACGATCGTACGATTTGACCATCATTAAGTCGAAAATCAGTAGTTTTTCACAAATTTCTCAACATGCCCAATCACCGAAAAGGAGAGGAACCATGAAAATCAGCCGGTGCCATTGAGCCA